TTATATAAAATCTTAATCGTATGTAGCCGGCTTTTACCCAAAATCCCTATAGACGGTATTTTCAGTCTTGAACAAATGTAGCCGGTCTTTGCTCAAAAGCACTACAGCCGGCTACAAAAATCCTTTTGGTTAAGATGCTTGCTTCAGGCCAATGACCACCTACATACCAACCAACGGCAATGACGGATACTCAATGGGTAATCTGCAGCCGGTCAAATGAATAGTCTAGGTTGGCCCTAACCGGCACCGCCTGCTAATCCAACTTAGATTTATTTTATTTTTGATATGGTCAAGGACTGCCTATCTATTCATCCGGATGCCTGTATGGACGACTTCCTGCTTAGAATTGAGTAATTTTAAGCAAATAATCGTCCAGGGGCAGACGGAGCCAATGCATCCGCATGTATCAATAAAAATTGCAAAAATTAAAGCAATGTGCGAGGCAAAAAATTGCAAAAATTGAAGCAAAAAATATCAAAGGAAAAACCGACACTGTCAGCAAATATATTAAACAGTGAATTGTTAGCCGGACCTTTGTCCAAGAAGGAGGTACATTAAATACACGGCTCGCAGGACGGATGAAGAAAAAACAGGAAATACATAAAGCTATTGCTGCTGCTGTTGCTGTTGTTGTGATGGCTGGCCCTGGCTGGCTGGAGGAGCTTCTTAAGATTGCTGGACTTGGGCTTCGTCAGCCTCATCCGGTATCGCATCATCCGCTTGCTCCTCCTCTTCAATGATGGCCCACTCCTCGAAGGGCGCCGGATTCTCGGTTCCGAGAACCTGGGCATCAAATACTTCGGTTGCGTATTTGTACCTCAAGTCGAAGAAAGAGTAGTTAGTGTCCGGATGGGTTATAGACCACGCCATTTTCATGCGCTCCTCGCAGTCACGCTCATTCTCAAAAACCAGCCGGTCTTGTTCAGCCGCCAGCTTTTCTTTGTAGTCCGCCTAGGTCTGGGCCAACTCGTTCTTCAACCGGTTGACATCAAACCGCAGCTGAGCATTCTCCATATCAGCGTCCTCCAAGGCTTTGACATCTGCCTCTAAGTCCTTGACTTTAAGCACAAATTCAGCTGCCTTCTTGTTGGCGGCATCAGCAGCTGCCGTGAGCTCTTTGACTAGCTCCTCCTGTTTTATCTCCCGGCTTTTAGTTTGAATTTCAAGCATAAGGGAGTTATATTGATGTACATCAATTAGATCGGTTGCCCGTCTCTGGGCATCCCTTACCTCCTCCTGTTTTTTGCGCAATGGGACTTTCAACCCATCTACCCTCAACATCACTTGCAAAACAGCCGGGAAAAAGTTAGTGTTCCAATAAAAAACAACCGGAAATAAACAAAATGGTACGAAAGCACCACAATCGGTGAATTATCTCAGCCAGCAGTGAGTTGATGCGATCAATGTTGACCTGGTGTATACCCGGTACCGCCTCTTTTTCGGACCGGGTAAGGGTCCTTAGCATTCTCTTGTTGTAACTCTGAAGATTCGGCCAACGAGAAGAGGCATCTGCATCAATAGATTTATCCGTTAAGTACTGAGCATATGCAAGGCCTACATTCTGCTGGCTGACTGAAGAATCCCAAGACTGGGTAGCTTGGGACTTGACTCTCACAGGTCCAAGCGGCCAGGGGGGTCAAAGGCAAGAGTCGTACCTTGATTTTCAGGCTGAGGGGTTGCACCTGAGCCAAATGCAACAGCAAGCACCCGGCTTGAGGGAACTGCAGGCTCCCCAGGTCCGACCTCAGCCAGCCCTGAACTTGGGCCAAGACCTCTCAGGCTTTTGCCTACTGAGGTGGGCCTCTCAGGAGCCGGCGGATTCCCGGTAGAGGTAGGGGCAGGGGCAACCGCAGTCCTCCGGCTCTTAGAGGCAGGTTGAGAGGGCTCCTCACCCGGCCTCTTGAGCATTCGACGAAGGGATCGAGGAAAATTTTTGTTCCCCGCCTGCAAAAGAAAACAAGACATCTAGTTAGTATCAAAGTGAGCTACAAGTAAGACATCCAGTTTATGTCAAAGTGAGTCAAACATCATATAGCCGGTTAATATTAAAAAGGAATTACTTATCATACAGACGGTAAAGAGGCCATCCGGCACTTATCCCATCATTCTTGGCCGCAAGCTGGGCCTTCTTTTCTCTAGCTGGTCCTTCCGGATCTCAGCCGCAGACTTAGCCGATGTCTTCACCGGAGGCACCATCTCTAATCCTTTCTCTACAAAGAAGAATAAACAATCAGAACTCATGCAAGCATAATACAGACGGCATAATGTGCCGGTTAACTATCATCATACACCTACTAAACATCGGGCTTAGACCACAGGCGGAAAGGAACACCTCGTCCTTGAGCCAGTCCGGATGAGGGACCTAATGTTTGGGGACAAAACTTATGTCCCATCATCCAATGGCAAGGTGATCTTTTTGAAAAGACCCGGCTCCATTATCTAGTCCCCTGCCGCTTCCGGTACTTTTGGAAGGGCGCACTTCTTTCCAAATAGAGCCGGGAGCTTATTGTAGTGACGCAGCTGGTGATTGAGTTGAAGAGAAGGGGAGGAGACCATGTAAAATTTGCTCTTCTAACTACTCCACTTAGACGGCTTGTCTAGCGTCATCATGAACTCTGGATGCGTGGTCAGAATATACCACGCATTCCAGCCGCCTGGGGCACGGCTGAGATAATGCATATGTGCAAACGCCTCTCAGCTAGGCGTAATGTCCTGCATCTCGCAGGCGGCGATATATCCTAATATATTCACCCATGAGTTGGGTGTTAGTTGCCAAACGCCAAGGTTGTAACCCCTTAGAATGACTCTTATTGTTCTGTGAAGGGGGAATCGGAGGCCGGTTTTGAATGCCGCCTCATAGCAGCCAAAGTAATTGTTGGCATGATCAAGGTCGTCATCCTAGACGACGGGTTGCGTTGCCAGGCGGCACAAGTATTTTCCATCCATCCCCAACCGGTCGTTTCTCCAAGAAAGCCGGTAGGGTGGCGTTTAAGGTTACAATATCCCGGGCGCTTATGGTCACCTCTGTAGGGTTGTTTATGGCAGGCCACTTGTACGCCTCCTCATCTTCTGGAGGGGCATCCGGCTCTTCGGATGACTCAGAGGAACCAGATTGTTGGACGGATTCTTCATCGTCTGAGCTCCCGGATTCCTCCAAAATTTCATCTATGGGCGTGCTAGGGATGCCCGACTGGTTATAAGGAATATCCTCAATCGGAGTTTCGGCTGAGCCGTCAGACTGATAGTCGGGATCTACAGCCGTCCATCTAGTCCGAGCCATTATGTCCTGCACATGAACAGAGACGGTCGGATTGGCAGAAGAGTAAGGGTGGTCCAAACACCCCCAGACGGCATCCCTAGTCCTAGACTCAGCCGTGCCCGATGACCGGTTGGCAACTGTCCTAGGTCGTGCCCTGTGTGTGTTGGGTGAGTCCATTATTCACTAACAACCTATGCAACCGGAAAAAAGCACAAAGAGTTGAAAGGGACAGAGACAGTACCTTTGGAGTTGAAGAAATCTGGAAAAGTTGACTCCTCGAAGTGAGCAGCCGGAATTCTGAGTTCTGCTTGGTGATAACCCAGACGAAAGCCCGGATGTATCCTCGTCAAAGAATAGTTGAAATTTGTAAAGGCCCCAACCGTTTCTTGGAAATGTGGTTCAAAGATACCCCAGACGGTTAAGACCGGATGGGGGTGTTTTGAGAGCAACTGAAAATAAGCGGATGATCAGGCGGTTTTTGGGAAGATGGTTCAAAGATGCCCCAGATGGTGTAGACCGGTTGTGGGTATATTGAGAGGAAGAAAGGGAAATTGATTAGAAAGTCAGGCGGTTTTGAGAGAAATGGCTCAAAGATGCCCCAGACGGTAATGAACCGGCTGTGGGTATACTAAAAGCAATTGAAGAAATCTGACTAAGGTCAGACGGTGTTTGAGAAATTTGAGCGAAGATAACTCAGACGGAAGCCGGATGAGTTAAGAAAGAGAAGAAGGTTGTGAATATAATAGCAGCCGGTGTCAGAGCGTTTTTTCTCGAGAAGTTTGTAAATTTGCAAAGTATTGCAAATGATTGGGGAAGGTTTCCATTTATAGATGAAACCAGGAAGGCGAACCGTCACTTCCCCTTGAATTCAAATTCGAAATTCGAATTAAAAAAAATGGAGGGAAGGAGACGAACCGTCACCTTCCTAGAATGTGACACATGTCACAAATTCCTACGCGTCAAGCCATGTCACAGGTGCCATGTGGCAAGCCACGTCACACCTGTGAGGGGAAAATGTTTAGGGTAAAAATTACCCATGCCACGTGGTCCAATAGCATGCTGACACGTGGCACCTTAACCCTAAAGGGGGTACTGATCTCCTTGCACTATAAATAGAGGAAAATCCTCATTTATTACCCATTCAGAAATATCCACAAACATTCATAAATACAAACACAAAAACCGAACAATATTAATTGCGAAATTCTCTCTGAATCAGAGAGAAAAACCTTTACATTCCGCACTTTAATACATTCGAAAACGTTCTAACTTGATCATCGGAGGTGGAACTCCACCCAACCGGAGTTTCGTGGTTTTGTAGGTACAGAGGACTGACGCGCATTCTTGGAATTGTAACTCTTCCGAGGGACTCCAAAAACCCCAAAACACCGTTTTACTTCGTTTTTTTTTTTCCGAGTGTAATTGAGATATGGTAGAAGGGTCTAATTTATACGATGTGTAGTATTATTTATATGCGATCTCATCAATATAACAATGTTCACCGACTAATCATTGACTACGTACGTAAACCACCGAGTAATATGAGTATTTTCTTTTGTTAGATATTGTGTTCACACAACGGTGAGCAAACCAATCTTATTCTATTTCCTGATAAAGAGACTATTCTAAAGATGTTATTTTTTTTGGTAACTTTTTCTTTTTTTTTTCCCGGTTTACTATAGATGTTAGGTGGGTCATATGGTCAAAAAAAAACAAAAAAAAAAAAAGCTTATATAAAGGGATTGAGATGTAGAGCTAGAAGCATAACAAAAATCCTTTCTCCAATCAATCATAAACATGGGAAAGTTTGGAGGAATGGCTTCTATTGTAGCCACTCTAGTAGTGTTTGTCTCATTGAGTGTGCCTTCTTTAACCACGGCTGATTACACATATTCCTCTCCACCACCACCAGCCTACCATTACTCCTCCCCACCACCTCCGGTCCATCACGAGAAGCCACCCAAGTACCATTATTCACCTCCATCGAAAACACCTACTTACAAGTCACCACCGCCTTCCCCAGTTTACAAATCTCCACCACCTCCTGTTCATGGGTATCCAACACCGTCACCAGTGTACAAGTCTCCACCTGTACACAAGTATCCACCACCAACTCCTGTTTACAAGTCTCCCCCAGTTCATGAATACCCACCACCCACCCCAGTGTACAAGTCTCCCCCAGTTCATGAATACCCACCACCCACCCCAGTGTACAAGTCTCCCCCAGTTCATGAATACCCACCACCCACCCCAGTGTACAAGTCTCCCCCAGTTCACAAGTATCCACCACCTACCCCGGTGTACAAGTCACCACCTGTTCACGAGTACCCACCACCCACCCCAGTCTACAAGTCTCCACCAGTTCACAAATACCCACCACCCACCCCGGTGTACAAGTCTCCACCAGTTCATGAGTATCCACCACCCACCCCAGTGTACAAGTCACCACCAGTGCACAAGTACCCACCACCCACTCCGGTATACAAGTCTCCACCCGTCCATGAGTACCCACCACCCACCTCTGTTTACAAGTCTCCACCAGTTCACAAGTACCCACCACCCACCCCTGTTTACAAGTCTCCACCTGTTCATGAATACCCACCTCCAACTCCAACATACAAGTCGCCACCAGTTCACAAGTACCCCCCACCCACCCCCGTTTACAAGTCTCCCCCAGTTCATGAATATCCACCACCCACTCCAGTTTACAAATCTCCACCTGTACACAAGTACCCACCTCCTACCCCTGTTTACAAATCTCCACCTGTTCACAAGTCTCCACCATCACCTGCTCATGGGTATCCATCTCCTAGTCCAGTCCACAAATCTCCACCAATGCATCCTACGCCTCCCTATGTCTACACTTCTCCTCCGCCCCCATATCACTACTAAAAAAATATAGTTTCACTTTAATTAGTGACAAATATTATTCTGCCAAGGTCAGTTACATAAAACTTTCATTCACTGGTATTTACATGCATAAGAAATTTAATGTTCCTATGTTACGACGTGAGCCAATGACATAAAGTGCATAAGATATCATGCATATTACATCGTCTTTAGACGTTCAATCATCTTTATTACTATTACTAGGTTGAAATATTTATCATTTAACGTTTTCCAATAATAGTTAAAACAAAATATGCAAATCAAATTTCTTTTAAACATTAATTATGAATATGAATATTAATTTTTACTGTTTCCAAATTTTACAGGTGAAAAGTTTCTTGACAACCAACAAGAGAAAGTCAAAGTAGAGGACCTATCTTTGTCGAAAGAGCTAGGATTGTAATCCTTGAGATAATATATAAAGCTTGTCGTTTTGTTTAGAGATTTTGGAAACTTTATTTTATTATAAATAAAAACAACAATATTACCAGGAAAAAGTTTGTAAAATTATTTGGATCATGTGCTCTAGTTGTAACTCAATGCTTTGCATGGCATGGGGCATAATTGAGATGGCTTGGATATATAATTTTGTATTTTTATTATCAAGTATAGCATTAATAAAATAAAGTATAAAGTTCAATTATAGTACTCAAGTTGATGTTTAATTTCAAGAATCATATAGAATAACAGCCTAACAGTTATTGTGTTGACATAAAGTGTACGTTTTCTTCCTTTTGGTACGTGGTTTCCTAGTTTTCTAACAAAGTTTTACCCTTTTTGACAATGGAGGAAAGATCAAATATCATCGACATAAAACACTCATAAAATAATTATCAATGAAATACTTCCTTTATCTCTTACTGCTTGTATTATGATTTTTCATGATCCGCTAAAAAACAGGTGTAACCATAAATATCTTATTATGTATAAATAAATTATTAAAAGTCGATCGATTTTTTTGAAAATACTACTTTATACGAAGTATATTTGTTACAATAGACTTCTATATTTTTTTCTTATGAATTAAAGGAAATTAATGATCAAAATTATTGAAATTTGTTTTTTAAAAAAAATTGAGCTAGCTATAAGGAGACTAATAATTCTACAAGAACTTATATATCATTTGCAAAAATCCTTTCAGCGTGGTTCAATGTGTGTACTTAGCAAGCCAAGTAGCATGCTAACGATCATATACTACTTCTGTTTTTAAAATTGGTAACAAATGGGTTTTTTATGTGAGATATAAAAAAATTCATCATTTGCTGCAAAAAAAAAGAAATAGAGTTAGTAGTAATACAATAATCTCATCTCTAAACTTGTGTTTTTCTTCATAAATGTCCATTTTCAATCTACCACCAACAACCTAATACCATCCCCAAAATTGGTAATCGATGACAATGAAATTTGTGAAGATCGAAAAGCCGGAGAAAATGTCGTAGTGGATTAACATTATGTTACCATGAGAATAGACGATTACTTTTCTTACAAATATATTACAAATATATTATACAAACTCACTTTTATCATCAACTGACACTTATCAAACAGACCATGAGATGATGAATCTTCGTTTATATTCTTAGGAAGAGTAACTCCTGTTTTGCAAGAGAAATCAATTTGGGTGTCTAGATTGGGTTCAGTAATCAGGTTGGATTATGTCTATTTTAAATTTGAGTCATACTAAATTATTATGTCTATACAAATCGAAATCTGAACTTTGTATATATTCTCATCTCTAAACTTGTGTTTTTCTTCGTAAATGTCCATTTTCAATCTACCACTGACAATCTACCACCCCCAAATTGACAATCGAGGACAATGAAATCTGTGAAGATCGAAAAGCCAGAGATAGATAATGTTATAGTGAATTAACATTATGTTACTATGAGAATCAACAGTTACTTTTTCTACATATATATTATACATATTCACTTTTACTAACATCATTTATAAACGGATCGGACAAGTACCAAACAGAACATGAGATGCTGCATCTTCGTTTACATTCTTACTTTGAGTAACTCCTATTTGGCTAGAGGTGTCAATTTAGGTGTCTAAGTCAGGTTCGGTGATTAGGTCGAATTAGGTGTATTTCAAATTCAATTCATGCTAAATTAATGTGTCCATCTAAGTCAAAATTTGAATTTGGTTTTTTGGGATCAATTACGGATTAGTTCGATCGAGTCATTTTTTGACTGGTATGGTTAGAGGAATGGAGATAGAGTAATTTAGCATAAAATTAACACTACACTCAATGTCTCGATATTAGAAGTACGACCTTTAAATTAAACTTACACCTCAATCAGCTAAACAAATAAGGATAGAATGGAGAAAGGGTTAAAGGATCTCCTGAATTATCTAATTCCTTAAGATGGAATGAATTGTTTACTACGGCAACAATTAATTAGGACTCAAAATGAAACCATATATTAAAACATTAACTTATACAATTATCTCACTTTTGGAAGAAACCTAATTTTTGGACAATTGTAATGATCTAATAAATCCTTTTTAAAGTATGGTATGTTTTTCGTGTATCTTAATTGATTATAATCTAACCTGAAGTACTAAAAGTGTTTTTTACATAGTTTTTACTTTGGCTGTTATATGGAGAATGAAGTACATAATTATGATGAACTTCAGGCTAATTTATTTCGTAGGGCCAATACCAATGTTAGAAATAATCTAAGCCAGGTTAGGTAGCCGGTCGTATTAAAGTGTGGTAATGGGAATGAACTTTAAGTTAATTTAATTTGGTAATTAAACAACACAATCTCATCACCCAAGCATGCATTTTTTTTTCATTAACCTTCATTACCACTTAAAATGTGATATTTGGTGGAAATGAAAATTTATGTAAAAGGTGGAAAAATTGGGGGGACCATGCATCTTGATTCTTGAATGATAATAGGAATGAACATGATTTTCTTTCTAAATTTACATGCAAATCCATTTCCATCACCATTATTTATGATGGATTACCAAACGACCGGCTAATAGCTAGTGATGCTTATAACCAAATACAAATGAAAATGTACGACTACGCATAAATTTTACACGGCCTACTTCAAGTCCTGTGGATTACATACTTCATTGCTTGAAAAAAATGGTGACAACCAATATGACTTGACATGGATAATCAACAATTCAGCCGAATATAATCGACTAGAACACTTACTAAGGTAATATGAGCCACTTGGAAACTACGGACGACGTGATTTATTTATTATATATGTTTTTAATAACTAGGGCTGCTATACTGCGCGCATCTCATCATAATTAGCCTTTTTGGGAAATTTTCCGGTTAGGCCCTATTTATAATTTTAGTTGTTAATTGCGTTAATGAAGAAAAAATATGTAAATAAATATTTTTAGGGGTAAAAATGTCTTTACACTATTTTTAAGAGTTCAAAAAAAATATTAATGAGGGTAAATATGTGAATACTTTAGGGACATAACCGTCTCAATGCTACTCATAAAAGCGTATTCATATTTTTAAAAGGGGTAAATATGTAAATAAACAATTTCAAAGGCATAAACATTTCAACACTATTTATAAGTGTTGGAGAAGGTCTTGCGCATAGCTCCTATATGCAAACATTGCATATAGGATGGCAATGTAGTAATAAAGTTGAAGTTATAGTGGGAGTATAATGTACCATTTAATAAGTAAATAGTACTATTAAATGTTGTAGTGGTATAAATATTATGCTAATAGTATAAAAAGTATGTAAATGGTACATCAAAATATTATACCACTATGAGATATAATAGTACTACTAAGACATAATGGTACAATATACATGCATAATTGTACAAAAAATGTACCACTGTAACCATAAAAAGTACAATTTTGGATGTCAAACCTCAGCGCTTTTCCACTTTTGCCCTCCTATATGCAAAAAATGCATATAGGGGCTATGCGACTAATGGGACTCATAAATGTTTAGTCATACTTTTTTAAATATAGGGGTTGCAAGTTTGCAACATAAAGGTATATTTTATTCACTTTATTTAAAGAAGTGATTAAAAAATGTACATACACGGATTAATTAAACAATAAAGTATAAGTTAAAGTAACCGTAAGACTATTGATAACATTATTTTAATTTAGTTATTCGTTTATCTTTCTAATTTGTTCTGCTAAAATTTGCTCAAAAGCTCAATAGAACAAGGCCATATCAGGAAGATGTGTTGCAATAACTTCAAATTTACGAGTGTTTTGATTTAAATTGATAAACATTGAGTTCCAAATTCTAAAACCATATTCTAGACCACCGCAAAATACAAGTTGATCAATTTGATCAACTTGTTTCGTCAATCAATAGGGTAAAACAGTCTTTTCCATCATTAAACCTGGGGCATTTGGGTAATAGCATTTATGTTGACTCGGCAACTTTGCCACACTCGCATGTCTATGTGTATATGCTTGAGTAACGACGTATCCAAGGTTGATCTATCGCACCGTTACGTCAATTTTGACTGTTATCTCCTCCGCTACCCCATATCTCATCCATGCACCTACTCCCCTTTTAAGTATTCAATTTTTTGTTTTTTAAATTCATGTATGATATGACCAAAATTGTCACCTCAAATTGGGCGTATTACTTTGTTTTAGCACTTTGACCTCAAATTCAGATTTGGTTTTGCTATGTTTTATTTAAACCAATTGTATAATAATGATATAAACTTAAGTAATTAAAAAATTACACAGTTCCCAATATCATATTGCTTAAGTAATTAAAAAATTACGAACTGTTGAGTGGCGTCTGGCCGGGGCGCCACAGCCATGGCGGCAGCGTTCCGGCCAGACGCCACCCAGCAGTTCGTAATTTTTTTTTATTTAACGTTTTTTTTTTTTTTTTTTTTAATTTTTTTTTTCTGGTTTTTAAACTTTGATACTAATTTGAAATTAAATATGTGTTAATAATTTCATAAAAATCAATAACATGAGAACTTGATGGTGACGCTCGGCTACAGCACACTCTAATGTACGTTAAATCAATTGCACTCCTACTCAGCAGCTAACTAACTGTCATCATTCATAGTCCCCTTATGTAGATGTTTGTTGTTCACTTTATTTACAAAAGAACCATTTTAATTGACAAGTTAAATTGATCAACAAGATCAATGGGGCGCGCTCCTAGACCGCATCAATGGGGGCGCGCTCCTAGACCGCCCTATTTTTCTATCATTGATTTAGGGTCATTTTTGACCGAATCAATTTTTGACATGTGGACTAAAAATTATCACAATTGCAAGAAAATTAAGAACAAGGATCATGATTTTTGTGGTTCCCACGTGATTTTAATAAAACTTTACAAACAAATTAATAAATCCAAGCTTAATTAAAATTGTGGGGTATGCCGACGATGGCTATTATATCCAATAATTTCGTGCATGCATTATTCAAAATCTGCCTAACAATTTAACAAACTAATCAATTGTAATTTGATGTCTGAAAATTATGTTCCTTCTTGAAGAAAATCGAGTGTGTTTCACCAACTTGATGTTCGTTATTGTCATCCATAACAAAGATTAGATGATGATGATAAGGCCATAATCAATAAGTTTTGATTAAGACCGTACATCTAACATCATTTTCGCCAAACAACACGTGATCTAAGGGGATTGTTGAAGTGGCCGGGCTTCC